GGTGAGGGGCTGAGGGCCGTTTTCAGGCTGGCGGGTGACTGAAGCTCCCAACTGCTCCTTTTTTCTTTTTTTTTCTTTTTCTATCTGGGCCAGCTTTAGCTCTGAGGCCTCGCTGCTGAAAGCAGGTTTCTGGCCTTTACCTTCTGTATTTGATACAATGTTGCGGTCTGGCTGGCTGAAGCCCGGCTGACTGGGCTGACTGAAAGCCAGTTTCTAGGGTTTTGTTTAGCTTCTATATTTGCAACATAGTTGCTTAGAGTTGCAGCTGAGAGGCCGGCAAGTCAGGCGAGGAACGTTGGAGTTCGCCATCACTGGAGCAAGCAAGCCTCCCTGTTCGCTTCAGTGCATGGCTGCCGGCCGCCATCTTGGCTGACAGTTAATTTGCATAAGGATATGCTGATTAGCCAATGGGAAGGGTAGTGGTCGTACGCTAATTACCATGTTTCTCTTTTATTAGTGTAGATAGGATTTCTTGTGTCTAAGTGCTTATAACTTCTGATATTCCATGTATGTACAGGCATACCTCAGAGATATTACAGGTTCATTTCCAGACCACTGCAATAAAGCAAGTCACTTGAATTTTTTGGTTTCTGAGGGTGTATAAAAATTATGTTTCACTACACTATAGTTTATTAAGTGTACAATAGCTTTATGTCTAAAAAATCTACACACCTTAATTTAAAAAATACTTTATTGATAAAAAATGCTAACCATCATCTGAGCCTGTAGCAAGCTTAATCTCTTTGCTTGTGGAGGGCAAATTTGTAATAAACACAGTATCTGCAAAGCACAATAAAGCCAAGTGCAATAAAATGAGGTATGCCTGTATAATGTGCTTTTTGTACAAAGTGGTGCTAATGTCCTATCGTCAGGGAGTAAACTAGCATTTCTCACAATGGGTGGGTTTGTAGGAGAGCTGAGAGCATGGGCTCCTCTGTGAGTAGTGCATAGTGAGATTGCTGGCTGGGGTTGGAGAGGACATCTACTGAATGGAGCTATTACAAGGCTAGCTTGTCTGCTATCAGTGAACCTAAGACCCTGGACTTGCTGGGCTGCAACTTAAATTAGTAATAATGCCCAGCATGATGTGATCATTTTAACACCATGGATAGGTATGTGAGGTTACAAATGTGTTAAATAACCTAATGGGAGGAGTCCTTTCACAATGTATACATATATCAAATCATCACATTGTACATTTTAAATATCTTATAATTTTATAATTTTATTTGCCCATTTTAACTCAGTAAAGCTGGAATAAATAAAGATGATGGAAGCTTTGACTTAGATGGAGTCTTTGAGCTTATCCTATCTAATAAAAGAGAAACAAGGTAATTAGCCATATGGCCGCTACCCTTCCCACTGGCTAATCAGTGAGATATGCAAATTAACTGCCAACCAAGATGGCGGCCGGCAGCCAGGCAGCTGACGCGAACAAGGAGGCTTGCTTGCTTCAGTGATGGAGGAAGCCAAGCTTCCCCACCTGCCTTGCCAGCCTCTCACCTGCACTCTAAGCAACATTGTAACAAATATAGAAGCTAAACAAAACCCCGGGCTTCAGCCAGCAGGACCACAACATTGTTTCAAATACAGAAGGTAAACAAAGGCCAGAAACCTGCTTTCAGCAGCGGAGGTCTCATAGCTGGAGCCGAGCCTCAGAGCTAAAGCTGGCCCAGAATTTTAAAAAAAGGAAAAAAGGACAGGTTGGGAGCTTCAGTCACCCGCCAGCCTGAAAACGGCCCTCAGCCCCTCACCCAGGCTGGCCAGGCACCCCAGTGGGGACCCTCACCCTAAAGGGGGTGTGACCAGATGCAAACAGCCATCATCCCCTCACCCAGGCTGGCCAGGCACCCAAGCGGGACCCCCACCTTGATGCAGGACACCCTTCAGGGCAAACCAGCCGGATAGTAAAAGGGTAATATGCCTCCCAGCACCGGGATCAGCGGAGCAGCGAGGCCTCCCGGCACCGGGATCAGCGTGACAGGGGGCAGCGACCAAACCCCCTGATCGCCCTGCGGCTCTGTGTGTGACAGGGTGCGGGGCCACAACCTCCCTATCCGCTCTGCTCCGTGAGTGACAAGGGGGAGCTCCTCAACCCCCTGATCGGCCCTGCTCTGTGCGTGACAGGATACGGAGCCCCAACCCCCCTGATGGGCCCTGCTCTGTGTGTGACAGGATACAGAGCCCCAACCCCCGTGATGGGCCCTGCTCTGTGCATGACAGGGGGCAGCGCCCCAACCCCCTGATCGGCCCTGCTCTGTGCATGATAGGGGGTGGCGCCACAACCTCCCTATCGACCCTGCCTTGAGTGTGACAGGGGGCGGTGCCCCAACCCCCCAATTAGCCCTACCCTGAGCGTGACTAGGGGTGGCATCGCAACCTCCTGATCCGCCCTGCTCTGTGCATGACAGGGGGTGGCGCCCCAACTCCCCAATCGGCCCTGCTCTGAGCCCGACCAGGGGTGCACCTAGGGATTGGGCCTGCCCTTTGCCACCCGGGAGCAGGCATAAGCCAGCAGATCATTATCTCCCAAGCGGTCCCAGACTGCGAGAGGCACAGGCCGGGCTGAGGGACCCCCTCTCCCCCCAGAGTGCACAAATTTTTGTGCACCGGGCCTCTAGTATCCTTATAAATACACTTTTTTGGTTTTCATTTATTTTTTAATAGGTTATTGTTCCTCTCTAGGACCTATTACATTTTTAAAAATATATTTTTATTGATTTCAGAGAGGAAAGGAGAGGGAGAGATAGAAACATCGATGATGAGAGAGAATCATTGATTGAATGCCTCCTGTACGCCCCCTACTGGTGATCAAGCCCACAACCTGGGCATGTGTCCTTGACTAGAATCGAACCGGGATCCTTCAGTCCACAAGCCGACGCTCTATCCACTGAGCCAAACTGGCTAGGGCTAGGGTATACATTTTTAATGTAAACATTTTTCATCTTTCCACCGACTTTACAAAGTAAGAGTAATGTGAATGAAAAGTAGCAATATTAGCAAGTTACCAGCTCACTGAAATGAATCATAATGTCCCTTATTTCAGTGTCTTCTTTTTTGTTTTAAATTAGATAATTATTATTTGTAAGTCATAAGTTAAATGAATATAACTTTCCAAGTAAGTTATCATTGCTAATTAACAAAACCGCGTAGAGCCAATCATTAAAAAAAAATAAACCGTTAGATGATCTTTTACTAAAATAGAATGAATTGTTTGAAAACCATTTCTAGAATAAACTTGTCTTTTACAGTCAGAAAAAGTGGATAAGGTGGTGCTGCAGCAGCTAAATGAAAAACTGGAACTGGCAGAGAAGGCGCTGGCTTCCAAGCAGCTTCAAATGGATGAGATGAAGCAGACCATCGCCAAGCAGGAGGAGGACCTGGAAACCATGACAGTTCTTAGGGCGCAGGTAAGCCGAGTGAAGCCAACCCTACTTATATTCTCAAATAGGATGTTTTTGTATTTTATATTATTTCCATTAATATTTTTTAAAAAATTTTAATTGAAGTATATCACATGTGGAAAGTGCACCGAACTTTTAAGTGTAGAGCTCAGTGAAGTTATCCATTCTACAGTTGATAGTTGAATTATTTCCAGTTTGCAGAATTGTGATTAATGTTACTGACATTCTTGTACATGTCTCTTGGTTTACCTGTACATTTTTTTCTATTGGCTACATAACTAGGAGTTGAATTGCAGGTTCATAGAGTGTGCACCTACTGAGTGGTTCTTTTTTTAATGAAAAAAATTTTTTATTTAATAATTCTTTCATGTTGAAAACATTACATATGTCCCCCTTTTTCCCCCCACTACCCCCTCCAGCCCCACCCCCATCCCAGGCCTTCAGCGCCTTATTGTCTGTGTCCGTGGGATATGCATACATGCATGCAAGGTCTTTGGTTGATTACCTTCCACCCACCCACCCTCCCCCACCTTCCTTCTGAGATTCCACACTCTGTTCCATGCTTCCAGGGTGCTCTGAATTCACTCTGTTCATCAGTTTATTTTGTTACTTAGATATGAGTGCGATCATGTGATACTTGTCTTTCTCTGACTGACTTATTTCACTTAGCATGATACTCTCCAGGTCCCTCCATGCTGTCTCAAAGGGTAAGAGAGTCTTCTTTTGTACTGCTGCATAGTATTCCATGGTATAAATGTACCACAGCTTTTTTGTCCACTCATCTACTAATGGGCACTTGAGGTGCGTACTGAGCTTTAATAGGTGATGTCAAACAGTTTTCATCAGTGGTTGTACCTATTTTCATTCCAATCAACAGTATTATCAGTACTCATGCTTGTATATCCATATTTTTACATTTATTTTTAAGCATTCTGCTGGTTATATAATGATGTCTCATTTACTTTGCATTTCCTTGATGGCTTATAACAGCAGTCACCGACTGGTGGTCCGCGGACTACTGGTGGTCAATGAGGTCTGAAAGGTTGGCGACCGCTGGTTTAAGGAAACCTTTGGAGCAGCAGTTGCCAACCAGTGATCTGCGGAGGTCTGAAAGGTTGGCGACCGCTGGCTTATAAGATTGAGTACCTTTTCAAATGTTTACTGGCCATCTAGGTATCCCCTTTGTGAAGTGCCTGATCAGGTCTTTGCCCATTTTTCTTCTGATTTGCTGACTTTTTCTTAATTTTTATAGGAGTTCTTCATATTTGTTGCATATTTTTTCACTCTGTGATTTGCTTTTTCACTCTTATCAAGGTATCTTTTGATGGACAAAAGTTCATTTGTTGTTATAGTCCAATTTATCAGTTTTTCATTTATGATTAATATTTTTTGTGGCCTGTTTAAAAAACTTTCACTACCTTGAAGCCATGAAGATTTCCTCTATAGTGTCTTCTAAAAGTTTATTGTTTTTCCTTTTACATTAGAATCTAGAAGCCACCTGGAATTAACTTTTCTATATGGAGATACAGATAAAGATGAACATTTTTTCCTATATGAATATCCTGTTGACATGGCACTATTTATTAAAAAGGCATCTTTTCTTAAGTACTCTGGTGCCTTCTTTGTCACATATTGTATCTATGTACCCATGAGTCAATTTCTGGACTCAGTACTGTTCCATTGGGCTATTTATATATCCTTGCGCTGTCTTTCTTATAAAGCATCAGAAGTTTTGAATTCTGGTAGAATAAGTCTTCCTTTACCTCAGTGATATAAGAAGTCTTCAGGTCTTCCTTCCCTTTTTCGTTTTCATATAAATTTTAGAAACCACTGATATTTTCCACTCACACAGAAAAGCCAACTGGGGTTTTGATTGGAATTGTATTAAATATATATCAATCATTGTGGAGATAACTGACATCTTTACAGCATTGACTCTTTCAATCCATGAATATGGCATATCTTCTTTAATTCTACTCAATAATTTACATATATAAAAGCCTAAGTGACCGTTATGTCAGATGTCCAGGACGACTATGATGCGCACTGACCACCAGGGGGCAGACGCTCAACACAGGAGCTGCCCCCCGGTTGTCAGTGCGCTCCCGCAGGGGGAGTACTGATCAGCTAGAAGCCGGGCTCATGGCTGGCGAGCACAGTTGTAGTGGCGGGAGCCTCTCTCAACACTGCGGTGGTGCTACCAAGCAGCGGTGGCAGGCACAGCAGGCCGGGATGAGCGTGAGTGGCCTGGTGCCTGGCCTCAGCTCAGGCTCCTCCCTGGGCACCTGCCACTTGGCGCACTGCTACATCCCTTGGGGGATGTCTGACTGCCGGTTTAGGCCCGATCCCCTGTTCTGTAGGGATCGGGCCTAAATCGGCAGTCAAACATCTCTCAAGGGATGCAAGATTGCAGAAAGGCACAGGTCAGCATGAGGGATTCCCTTTCTTCACCTGTAAATGAATCTACGCACCGGGCCTCGATTCGGCTTGACAGCTTATTAACAATCTGGCTCATCTATCAGGATTCTAGAGGACCCAGTGCATGAGATTCGTGCACTGGGTGGGTGGGGGGAGCGTTCCTTAGCCCAGCCTGTGCTCTTTCACAGTCCGGAACCCCTCAGGAGATGTCCACCTGCCTGCTTAGGCCCGATCCCCCTAAGCTGGCAGGCAGACATCCCTCTCACAGTCCAGGACCCCTTGCTCCTTACCATCTGCCTGGAGTGGAGGCAGGAGAGGTGGGAGAAGCTGGGCTTGCCAGCCGTGAGCCCAGCTTCTGGCTGAGCAGCGCTCCCCTGCGGGAGTGCACTGACCACCAGGGGCAGCTCCTGCATTAAGCATCTGCCCCCTGGTGGTCAGTGTGTGTCATAGCGACAGGTCATTCCGCCATTTGGTCTATTTGCATATTATGCTTTTATGATATAGGATTCCTAGATATTTTATATTTTGATGATACTATTATAAATAGCATCTTTTTAAAAACTCCATTTTCTAAGGATTGCTGTTATATAGAAATACAATTGATTTTCATATATTGACTTTGTATGCAGTAAACTTGCTCAACTCACATTTTAATTCTAAAATTTCTGAATTGTTTTAGACTAATTATATCATCTGAATAATGATAGGGTTTGTGTTTTTTTTCCTTTCCAGTCTTTCTACTTTTTGTTTCTTTATCTTACCTTGTTGCACTGGCTGAGACCCCAGTATCCTATATAATAAAAGGCTAATATGCAAATTGTCCCCTCAACTGGGAGTTCAACCAGGGGGGGAGCCAGCCAGCCAAGCGCCCACAAGCCGGCCCCCCCACCCCAATCAGGGGTGGAGCCGGCTGGTCAACTGTGCACAGCCCCTCAACCCTGCCAGCCCAGCCCCATCAGCCCTGGTCAGGGCAAGCCAGCTGCACCCCACCCATGCAGGAATTCGTGCACCAGGCCTCTAGTAATCCTATATAATAAAAGGCTAATATGCAAATTGTCCCTTTGAGTGGAAGTTCAACCTACGGAGAGTTAGATGTGCACTGACCACCAAGGGGTGACATGGAACATGATGGAAATCAGCAACGGGGCAGGCAGCCAGGGGAAGGGAGGCCCCCTGGCTGGCAGCCGCTAGGGACCCTACCAGTGCACGATCTCTTGTGCACTAGGCCTCTAGTGTTATCTATAATAAAAAAAGTGTAATATGCTAATTAGACTGGACAGCCAAACGACCTTACGGATGTCCTTCCAGACAACCTTCTGGACGAAGCCGGGGTTGCGAGGGCCGAGGCAAGCCACCGCAGCTCCAAGGGCAGAGTCCCTTGCACAAATTTCATGCATCAGGCCTCTAGTATAACTATAGAGATGGCAGACAGTCTTGCCTTACTCCCACCTGAGACTATGCTTTCAACATTTCACTATTAAGTGTGTGATGTTTGCTATGGGCTTTTTGTAGATATCACTTATCAAACTTATGAAATTTCCTTCTATCCTTGTTTGCCAAAAAATGTTTATTTTGAATAGATGTTTGAGTTTATGTAAGAAACTAGAGGCCTGGTGCACGAAATTCATTCCATGGGGTTGTCCCTCAGCCCGACCTGCACCCTCTCCAATCCAGGACCCCTCGGGGGATGTCCTACTGCCAGTTTAGGCCCAATCCTACAGGGAGTCAGACATGTCCAGCAGTCAGACATCCCTCTCGCAATCCAGGACCACTGGCTCCTAACCACTCACCTGCCTGCCTGCCTAATGCCCCCAACTGCCCTCCCCTGCTGGCCTGGTCACCCCCAATGTCCTCCCCTGCAGGCCAGTTCACCCCCAACTGCCCTCCCCTGCCGGCCTGATCTTGCCCCCAACTGCCCTCCCCTGCCGGCCTGGTCACCCCCAACTGCCCTCCCCTACAGGCCTGATCTTGCCCCTAACTTCCCTCCCCTGCCGGCCTGATCTTGCCCCCAACTGCCCTCCCTTGCCAGCCTGATCTCGCCCCTAACTGCTCTCCCCTGCTGGCCTGATCACCCCTAACTGCCTCTGCGTTGGCCCCCACCACCATGGCTTTGTCTGGAAGGAAGTCGGACATCTGGAAGATGGCCGGTCAACCTGGTCTAATTAGCATATTACAATTTTATTAGTGTAGATGTTTTTTCTTTATATATAGTTAGGTAATTATAGGCCTTTTTCCTTTAATTTACTAATGGTGAGACAAATTGATTTCTTAAATATTAAGCAAACTGCATTTCTTGAATTATTCTCTCTCTATTTATATTAGGATTTTTGTATCTATATTCTTAAGGAAACTTGGCCTAGAATTTTCCTTTTGCTAATGTACTTGTCAGGTTTTGATATCAAGTTTCCACTGGCCTTATAAAACCAAGTTAAGACACATTTCTTCTTTTATTGTCTGGAAGAATTTGTGTACAGTTGGTTTGTGACTGTTTGGGCCTGTTTTTATTCTGGTTTCTGGTCGGTGAAGTATTTGGAGGAGAGTTAGTGAGTGAGAATACATCCTGCCTGAGATTTAAAAATCACAAAAAAAGTGGGAAATAACTTTTTCTTTCTCAGTAACTAGAGATCTATTTCAGAGATCGTTTTAGGATTATATGGTAATAAAATACGTTTATTTTTGAATTACATAAACAATACTATTCACTATAAAATATAATTTTTAGGCTATAGAGAAATGTATAAAGTAGAAAGTGGAAATCCAACTGCCCCAAATTCCATTTTGGGGAGTGTATATTTCTTCTGTTTTTATTTGTTTGCTTAATTAAAAATGGGATTACACACCTTAGCCGGTTTGGCTCAGTGGACAGAGCATTAGCCTGCAGGCTATGGGGTCCCGAGTTTGTTTCCAGTCAAGGGCACATACATGCCTGGGTTGTGGGTTCGAACCCCAATGGGAGGTGTGCAGGAAGCAGCCAATCAGTGAGTCTCATCATTGATGTTTCTATCTCTCTCCCTCTCCCTTCCTCTCTGAAATAAAAATATTTTTTTAAAAAACAAGATTACACTATCTGTACTTATTGTTCTACAGTATTTTTACGCATGATATATCTTGCCAAGTTGTTTTTCAGAAATGCACATCCAAGATTATTCCTTCACCAAAAGTAGATGAGTGATCTTGTTTCCCCACATGCTTGCATCATTCTTTGAAATGTTTCCCAACCTGATAAATACATTATCTTATATAATAAAAGCCTAATATGCAAATTGTCCCCTTGACTGGGAGTTCAACCAGGAGTTTGACCACTAGCTATGACATGCACTGACCACCAGGGGGCAGCACGGAACATGGCAGGATGCGGTGACGCGCTGTGACCTCTCGCCGGCTACTTGTGGGCGGGGCTGACGGGGACAGAGGTGCAGTGAGAATATGGGGTATCTGCTGAGCTCGCTCTCACTCCCCCTGCTACCCTCCCCTGGGATGCCAGGGCTTGTGTGCCAGGGAAGCCCCTGTGCTCAGGTACCGGGTGCCCGCAAGGAGACCGGCCCGTACCCCGCACGGCCTCTTCTGGGTAAGCCAGGCCACAGCTGCCAGGACCGCATGGGCCGGTCGGGCTCCCCATGGGTTCACGCAGGAGCCGGTCTTCAAGGCCAGCCGGGAGAGAGCACGCTGCCCGCCCAGCTTCCGTGCAGTGCCTCTGGGTGGCCCAGAGGCCCATGCTGTGCCCGGGCCCATAGTGTCTGGCTGCGCTCACCGCATCTCTGCATGGGGACTCAGGCACTGTGACTCAGGCAGAGGGGGGCACACAGGGGCCTGGCGGCCCAGGGCCCAGAGATCAGCTGGGACCTGCCCTTCCATGCCAGATGCTCACACTTTGATCACCGGCCAGGCCTAGAGACCGCACCCGTGCACAGATTTCGTGCACCGGGTGTCTAGTTTTTAATATAACAATGTTGAATGGACTTAGGGCTTTAATTTTATTTCTATAGGAACAGAATCTCAACCTGAGCCCTTTATAGTGTTTTCTTTGTTTGGGCACCTCATGATACTGTAGTCATGTACTTCTGCCACATTCTACACACAGACATTTGTTTTGTTTTGATGAATATTCTTGTTCATTTACTCAACAAGTCTCTTTTTGAGCTGGGGATATAGGAATGGACAAAACAAAGACCCAGTTCTTAGTGGCTCAAATCTGAATTGAAGACTTTTTTTTAAAAATACATTTTATTGATTTTTTACAAAGAGGAAGGGAGAGGGAGAGGGATACAGAGCCAGAAACATCGATTCAGCTGCCTCCTGCACGCCCCCCACTGGGGATATGCCCGCAACCCAGGTACATGCCCTTGACCGGAACCAAACCTGGGACCCCTCAGTCCGCAGCCCGACGCTCTATCCGCTGAGCCAAACCGGTCAGGGCTGAATTGAAGACTCTTAACTCAAATTTAGGTCTGACTTAAAGAAGTCCATGATCCATCAATGATAACATAAAATTTTGGATTACTCGCAAATGGCAGGAACTCCCTTCAAAGATCTCTTTATTTACATGCTTTCTTTTTGAACTACAATTGTGATGGAATATTTAAAATTTTATTAATTTTACTTTTAAAAGTAATAGATGAAAATTTATATCCTAGAACCCCTAAATTTGAAAATAAAAACCCCCTAATTTTAAATATAGCAAGTTAAAAACTGGTATTAGAATAATGCTCAATTCACTATTAAGTAATTCATTTTTACTTTATAATTTTATAACTTAAGAAATTGCTATCATGATATAATATTTATCAGTTTCTAGATAACAAATTGCTCTCCAAACTTAGCAGCTAAAACAATAAGCACTTTTTATCTCACACACTTTCTGTGGGCCAGGAATCCAGGAGCAGCTTAGCAGGGTGATTCTGGCTTAGGGTTTCTTATGAGGCTGCACTCAAGAAGGAAGATCCATTTCCAAGATGTTTCACTCACCTGGCTGTGTGTGGAAAGCCTCAGTTCCTCACCTGTGGGCCTCTCTATATGGCTACTAGAGCACTTCATGATGGCAGCTAGCTTCCCCCAGAGCAAGTGATCCAGGAGAGAACAAGGCAGAAGCAGAAGCCACACACCATCACTTCTGCAGTATCCTAGTGGTTACACAGGTTAGCCCTATTCATTGTGGGAGGGGAATACATGAGGTCATGAATACCAACAGGTGGGGATCACTGGCGCCATCTTGGAGGCTGCCTCCCTCTATGGGAAGTGATGTGGTATATGGAAGAGTCCATGCTTTATGGGCTTCAATCTGAGTTCAAATGCTGGCTTGACCTCTTAAATAATCTCCCAAAGATTAAGAGCTATTGAACTTGTAATATGAAATGAGCATAGCAATTTTACATTCCTAGGATTTTTGATAAACTGAAATAAGATAGTCAACATAGGACTTCACATGTGTTTAGAATTCAATAAATAGCATCTATTTATTATTTTAAATTTAACTTAAGGCCAGCCTTCATAAATATACTCGACAAAGTAAATAAACCATTTACTAGTACTATATTAAGCTAATCCTGAATATTATTTTTTAAAAAGAGACCAAAGAATTTTACTGAATTGATGCTATATACAGTACTTAAACCATCTCTATCAATGTAATTGCTGAGTTCTAATTGTTTAAAGTGCACACACATACACAACTTGTGTCTTTTACTTGAAGGTAGTTGCAAAGTCCTGGTCACTATATTTGTTTCTAGCAGGAACATGTACCTGTCATAGACATACCACAGTTGCAGCAATGCCTGTTCACCTCAACAGGTGAGCTACAGAGAATCCACCTCATCTAGATAGTAACTGCTGTCTCTTTCTTCCTCTAACAGATGGAGGTTTACTGCTCGGACTTTCATGCTGAAAGAGCAGCAAGAGAGAAGATTCATGAAGAAAAGGAGCAACTGGCATTGCAGCTGGCAATTTTGCTGAAAGACAATAATGTTTTTGAAGATGGAGGCAGGTAAGGTGAAGGGAAGACAGAGCATATTTCAACATGGGGCCTGTCAAAGATGGTTCCTAATTTGAGCTATAAGAATCTCTGGCTGCACTTCACTTGGGTGCCTATGCTTAGTTTGACTTACAAGACTCGGTAGTGTTTTGTGGAAACCTGATCAAGGTCTTTGCTTTTAGATTAGCTGTAAAAACATGACACTGAGTTTCAAAGTCATATCTTGCCATTGTTATAGATGAAATAGTCCTAACACTTTAAATAAATCTGTAATATATCTTAAAAGAAATACTGCTAAGTTACTTCTGTCCTCTACATTTTCATTTTGAGAAAAAATTGAAATATGTAGAAAAATAAAAATACAGAGATCAAAATACACACCAATATGAATCCCATCCAGAATTGACAGTTACTCATATTTCTTTTATTTGCTTCAAGTATATTTTTATTAAAAGAAAAAAGTATATTTTTATTACAGATGAGATTGAAGTCTTGTTGTTCCCCAGCCTGCATTATATTTCTCTCTCCCTTTCCCCATACTGCCTGGAATTTTGTGGGTAGCATCCCCATGTTTTATATTTTTACATACATACACATCTATATAATATCTTAAAATAAATTAATACTAATTTCTCTATGCTTAAGGTACAAAATGATCACTACAAATATTGTTTTGCAACTTGCTTTACATAACATTGTGATTTTTTTGAATTGTGTAGATATGTTTAGATTTAATTAATTCTGTTTAATTGCACTGTAGTGTTTCCAATAATATTTCCAACTCAAGTTAGTCTTAAGTTCTGGTTTCTATGCACCTTGGCATTGTATACAGTTCAGCTCTTTTTTTTCTCATATTTCTACTGAATGTGTGCTTAATGTTGTCATGTTTCAGGATTTTAGAACATCACATAGAGTATTGCTTTTAATCCCAGCAGGGAGTCCTTGATGGAAATGCAGAGCCGTCATGGAGCCAGAACCAATGACCCTGACCAACAGGACTACCTTGTTCAAAGAGGTGAGTCATGTGTGATTTTAAGCTTTCAAGAATCCAGGGAATAACTATCCTTGAAGAAGATGCTAGAAAAAAAATTCACCTACATCCTATATAATGGATTTCAAATCAAGCTATCAAAAAATGTAGTACCCATCAGCCTATTTCCATAGTACTCTGCTCTCCATCCATTACCTATTGAATCCAGACCAGACTCTTCATGCTGACAGTTAAGGGCTGGCATAGCCAAACTTTTAAGCCTTCTCTCACTGCATTCCCCTAGAGCAATTAGCCAACTAAATCATTCCTTGTTCCTTGAACTTGTCATAAACTTGTATACCTACATATACTTGTTTATGGAGTATCCTTCATGTAGATGCCCTTCCCTCATATCCTTGTATTCCTCCAGTCTCTCTCATCCCATCTTTAAAAACCATTTCAAATACCAGCTTTATGATACCAACAGAATGTGACGTCTCCCTCCTGAATTTCCAAAGTACTTTATTCCTGTTTTAGTACTTACCTGCTATCTATAATAATATCTATAATAATAAAAGCATAATATGCTAATTAGACTGGAGAGCCAAACGTCCTTCCTGACAAAGCCGCAGCGGCTGCGAAAGCCGAGGGCAGGCAGCCGCAGTGTGTGCTAAGGGCGGTGCCTTCCCCTGATCGGCTGGTCACCTTCCGAAGAGGGAGGCCAGACTACGGCTTAGGCCCGTGGGGAGTGGGCCTAAGCTGTCAATAGGACATCCCCTGAGGACTCTTGGACTGTGAGGAGGGGGCAGGATGGGCTGAGGGACCCCCTGCCAGTGCACGAATTTTTATGTACCGGGCCTCTAGTTTATTATAATTATTTATATGTTCTAAATAAACAGTTAAGTCTCTTTTAAATAAGTTCTCTCAGAGCATATATCTTCACCCACCATCTGTTACCATTTATTGAGAGTTTACTATGAGTGGTCCCTGTGCTGATCATTTCATTCATATTATTTCATGTAATCCTCACAAAATTCTATCAGATATATATATCATCACTACCTTACAGAAGGCAAGGTTAAATTACTCAGGATCACAAGGTGAATTAGGGGCAGAAGTGGACCATCAAACCCAAGGCTATATGAGCCTCATGGAACCCAAGGTTATCTGTCCCTTAACCTAACTACATGGTACTGCATGAAATACTGTCATTAATTATGTACTACAAACAAGATTTTAATTTCCTAAATGAAATTGATCATGACACTTAATTAAAAGTAAGATGCTATGTTTATATGGTTTTAATACACTAGTAATAATATTCTGTAATTTGAAATAAATCACGGTCTTAGTACTAAAAAGGGAAGTGTGTCCTTGATTCTAGATATGAAAAAAACAATAACACTCAAAGGGTCAAAGACTGACATGACAAGAAGAAAAGTTAATATAATGCCAGTAAGAAGACTCTGGGTTTAGGATGTCATCCTAAATTTCACATAAAACTGTGAAATTTCTTTAAATTCTTTTTTAACGCTGGACAAGTCTGCCCCTTCCACATAGCAACTGACTATTGAAATGGAACTAGATCACAATGTTATCAGCAGCAAGGAAGTAATATTAGTATGTATAGTTAAATGTTAAATCTTGGGGAAATGCCTCTGAGTACCCCTTTTACCTTCCACCTCTTCCTATTCCCCTTACCACCACCACCAAAATTCTTTTACAGGAAAAAAAATAGGCTAAAGTAAATATTAGCAGTAGTAATTCAGGGTACAAGTAAACATAGTATTCACGGGGCAGAGGTAGCAGCATGTGAACTGGCATAAATAAGAGCCTCAGGCATTTTTAGCATCAGTGGGTAAAGCTATGTTCTCTGAAAGCTGCATCTACTCACTTGAGCACCGCTATGCATTTTCTCTAACCTAATTTTAAATATCCTGGGAACATCAATATACCTCATATCTAGAAGTACCTACACACTTGTCTTTAGTCAAAAGGGTGATCTCTTGCACCTGGATTTTTAAGGGACGATTTCCATTCATTATAACTATATAAGACAAATGCGTATTTACATGAAAAAGAATTGAAACAAGAATTGGTCAAACACTCTTTGGTTTACATTTATAATCTAAAAATCATCACAAAGTGTAAATTTATTCCTAATAAGTTTTGTTTTATAAAAAACAATATTCCAGAGATAAGATGTCTTAAGATTTTTTTTTTTCATTTTCTAACAAAGCTGCCTTAAATAGGAGCCCCTCTCAGTAATAGCAGCAGCAGCAGCCATCTAAGTGTCTAATCTGGTCTAGGTCACTGGCTGAGAACAAGGAAACAAATGGGCATAAATCATGGTCAGATCCGTGAGGGCTTATGATCCAGTGCAACGGTTCTCAACCTGTGGGTCAAGACACCTTTTGTTGGGGGGGGGGGGGGGGGGGGGGCAAACGACCCTTTCACAGGGGTCGCCTAAGACCATCAGAAAACACATATATAATTACATATTGTTTTTGTGATTAATCACTATGCTTTAATTATGTTCAATTTATAACAATGAAAATACATCCTGCATATCAGATATTTACATTACGATTCATAACAGTAGCAACATTACAGTTATGAAGTAACAACGAAAATAATTTTATGGTTGGGGGTCACCACAAAATGAGGAACTGTATTAAAGGGTCTCGGCATTAGGAAGGTTGAGAACCACTGGTCTAGTGGGAGAGATAGGATGTGCACATACAAATATGAATTCATAATACAAGATAAGACTTCAGTAATAGAAATAATACTGCTAAAGATAAGAAGAAAGGATGATCATTAAGGGCCAGACAAGTTGAGATAGGCTTTGAAAAGATGTGACTGTAAGCTTGTCCTTTAAGCTAGGATTTAGATAAGTTCAGTATGAGAAGGAAAGGGCAAAGGCTGAAATGAGTGTAATGTGTTAATAATGAAAACTGACTAAGCTTATTTTATAGTGAAGAGCCAGGAGGTAGAGGGAACCCATAATCCCAAGTCTGAGTCTTTAAACCTAGGCTAGGACAAAAAAAAAAAAAAGGCACACTTTAATGCAATGGAACTTTAAATGAAAGTCAACAATCCCTGAGAGTTGGCTGGTTGTTCTCTAGAGCAGGGTTTGACAAACTGCAGTTCACAGGCCAAATCTGCCCTGTTTGAATAAATAAAGTTTTATTGGGACATAGTCATGCACTTTTGTTGACTTATTGTCTTTGGCTACTTTCATGCTATAGCAGCAGAGTTGAGTAGCTGTGACAGAAATTATATGACATGCAAAGTCTAAAATATAGGGTGGGGCAAAGTAGGTTTATAGTTGTGAGTATGTGAAACAGAATTTATTCTTGTATTATTTCTTAATTATTGTATTATTTTCCATTCAAACAAGTATAAACCTACTTTTGCCCCACCCTGTACAGTGGGGCCTTGACCAGCTGTCTCTTGGCCGATTTTTTTGCATTGAGTTGATAGAGTAATTTGAGTTAACGAGCTCCTTAACGAGCTAAACTCGTAAGTCAAGGCCCCACTGTATTTCCTTAACGAGCTAAACTCGTAAGTCAAGGCCCCACTGTATTTATTCTCTGGCCCTTTACAGAAAAAGTTTACTGATCCCTAATGTAGAACAATGAGACCATTAGAAAGCTCCCTGCTACAGGGACAACAATGTGGGGGTGCCAGAGCAGGGTGTGGGAGTGGCAGTGAAGGAGAGTATGGGGGGTGAGGGGACTGGTGGACACACCATGTAGTGTGCAGATGTGTGTTGTGGAATTGTGCACCTGAAACCTATATGATTTGTTGACCAGTGTCATCCCAATAAATTCAATAAAAGGGGGGGAGGGGACAGGAGAAGAAATCTCCCGCTTTAGAAATCATGCCTGTGATCAATATTTCTATTCAAGGGTACTTCTAAAGTTTGCTAAACACAAACTTTCTATAATAGTCTCAAATGTTTTTCAATTCAAATATGCTCAGAAGCAAATAGCCATGTTAAACGTTACCTCCAGTCATCTTCCAAAAAAACAAACATTTGGGGATTTGAATGAAATTCTGGAGATCTGTGTGGAGACGCTACAAAACCAAAATGGTCTGCATTTGTCCAGAAAGGTCAGATGAAGGAGATGCCCCGGGAGCCAGAAATCATTTCCAGCACTGACCACAGTTTACTCATGTGGGACCTACCTAGAGTCAATGCTCATTTCAAGCATTCTTTGATTTAGACTCAGTCCCATTCCAAAATTGGGGGAAATAATTCTTCAATTCTTTCTCCTCACTTACTTTACCTGGATAACCCTTATTCATTCTTAGGCCTCCTCTCAAGTAGAGTCAGCCTCAATCAGGGGGCCTTGTCTGCACACAGCAGTCTGAGCCAGGTGCCTTTCTGCCTTCCCACTAAACCACCTTGTGCATGACACAGCCATGGCACTTCCCTCCCATGCCACGCTGTCACTTTTCTTGTCTCACACCCCCATCATATCTGTGTCCCTCTCCTCCATCTCACAGGGTACTCAAAAGTATTTGCTGAATTAACATAATTATTGTCTTTGCTTCTAGGAAGATACATACTGTTCTAGGATACCACCTCTCCCTGCTTTCTCATCATTTTCTCTACATCTCTCCTCTTTAGCTTATATCCTCATCTATGTCTTTCTTCTCTCAAATATTCTAGGTTTTACTAGAGCATCTATTTCCTGGTATCTAGAAATAAAACCATGTATTTTCATGTACCTAGAACCCAGAATAAAGCCTAAATCTTAAAATAATAGGGAAGCAGGTACTACTTTTGGAGATTTTCTATGTGTGTATAGATTACTTCAGTAAAAAACAAAAATGACCTAGATTCACTTCCTACTAGGTATAGATTACAATGTTTAACTGATGTTAAAATTAACCATCTGTTATTAAAGTCCATCAAGTAAGACTGGTTGTAACATGGAAGGAATGGAATAATATTTCACTTAATGCTTATTCTCAGGAGCTGATGGTAGTAACTGGCAGCAACAGCAGCAGCAAAATAGACAAGTTCATTCTTGCCCCAAATGTGGAGAAGTCCTGCCTGACATAGATACATTACAAATTCATGTCATGGACTGCATCATCTAAGTGTTGACATTTCGCCTCCCCCAAACTGCTGGTAAATGTCAGATTTCTTTCCTCCAAGAGTTCTACTTTTGTGTTATTTGTTTTCACTCAAATATTTTGGCTCATTATGTTTGTTTTAGGAGAAAGAAAACCAGTATGTTCCATATAGGACATATTTTTGTGTGGATTTCCATAAAATCGCAAAATAGAATTCTTAACATACCATTCTTCTGATAATAGAATCATTTCTTTAAATGTTCAGTTTAGGTGAGCATTGAACTATTTGTTCATGCAGTTAATGAGGGTATGACATCATGGGACATAATAAATGTAATTATATGGAAGAAGTATTACTGGTAAACTTTACCTTTTAAATAGGCAGGAAAAATGAAGTGGTCACAGATTTCTTCAAGAAAAAGATCTCTGAAGTATTTGTGAAATAAATTATATTATTATTTTTCTTCCTCCACTTAAGACAAACCTATTTGGGTTATGTATATATGTGTATGTTGTAGTTCTACTGCAGCCACAGTTGTACCAAAGTTATAATGTGGCTTTTTTCATATGAGCACTCTAAGCTTTTACTTGGCCATCAGGACAAAGGGAAAAATTTTGGCCTAGATGAAGTGGATACATTAGGGTCACTGGATTTGATATAACCACAGTGCAAATAAGTCATCTTTATTCTTTCATTGTGCTGCAGGTATGTGGGCTTGTACAGTAGAAAGTTTATTCATTTCTAAAAAGAACCACTGTTTATTCATTCTCTTCCTAGATTAGGCTATATAATCACAACCATAAAAAAGTTATTGCAAAATAAAATTTTGCTTATGACTCTTTCACATTGTTCATATGTGATTAGCTAATTTCATAGGATGCATTTTCTGGATTCAGCTTCATATAAGCTTATTGCTTGATTCAGATCTGTTCTGTTAATTCTATAAATATGAGCAAATCCCTTTACTAGAGACCAGTATGTGTTGTTTGAATTAGAAAGTGTTCTAGCTAAGGAGGTGAAAACATAGGGATGTGCCATATTTTGTGAACCTACAGTTATTAGCTAATACTGGGCCTGCCATAAAAGTAAACAATAACCTATGTATCTAGAGCCTATAACATTTAACAGAAAATGAAAATATCTCCTGTTTGGCTTTGTCATAAGAATCTCTCCTAGACAAACTTGATTTAATACACTCATATACACACACATATGGAATCAAACAGGAAATCAAAGAGAAATGAAATCAAAATAGTTCATTATGCCTTCATGCCAAGAGAACACACTGTACAAATTCAATAGCAATTTAGATTAAAAGAGTTTCCCACTTCAGCCCAGGGAGAATGTTTGCTTAAAAACATTTCTAAAATTAATTATGAAAATTTTACTTTTAATTTCTTGCTTAAGGCTTCTAGTTTAATTTTTCTCTACTACTTTATACCAGAGAAAATAGATTTCTATATTATCTTAAATAGAAAAGCAAACCAAATGGTTTTACATTTAAGTTTTGGGGGATATTCTTTTACTTTGTTCAAGTAAAAATATTAAGTTGGTCACAACTCTGAGATACCTAGAAATCCTCCAAACACCTGGAGATTAAATAACACACTTGTATGTAGTACATGGGTTGAGAAAGTCTCAAGAGAAATTTTAACAAATAAAATGAAAATATAACATCAATATTTCGGGAATGAAGCAAAAGCAATGCTTAGCAGGAAACCTATAGCATTGAATGCCTATATAGAAAAGAAGAAAGATCTAAAATCAATAATCTAAGCTTCCACTTTAAGTAACTAAAAAAAGAATGTAAATTAACCCCCCCAAACAGCAGAAGAAAATAAATAATAAAAATTAGGGCGGAAATCAGTTAAATTGAAACCAGGAAATCAATAGAGAAAAATCAGTAAAACCAAAAACTGATTCTTTGAAATTTATCTATAAAATTGGCAAAGCTCTAGCCAGGTTAACTAAAATTTTAAGACACAAATTACTAATATCACCAGCAGTGAATAATTGGAACTTGAAATTAAAAAGCACAGTAACTTTTATATGAGCACCAAAACGTGAAATAGGTATAAATAGAATAAAATATGTACAAGATCTGATGAAAGAACTCAAAGAACTAAGTAAGTGGAAAGATATTCCACATTCACGTAAAGAGAGACTCAGTATTGAGATGTCAATTCTACCCACCCTGATCTATAGATTCCACATGATCACAATCAAAATCTCAATAAGTTATTTTGTAGATATCAACAAACTGATTATAAAATTTATACAGAGGCAGAAGACCTTCAGAATGGCCAACACAGTATTGCAGGAGAATAAAATTGGAGGCTACTACCAGAGTTCAAGAAATACTATAAAGCTATAATAATCAAGATAGCATGGTGCTGGTGAAAGAATAGACAAATATATCAAAGGAACAGAATAGCAAGCCCAGAAATAGACCCAGAGAGTTCACGGGTCTTTGACAGCGGAGAAAAAGCAATTTTATGGAGAAAGGATAGTATTTTTAACAAATGGTGCTGGCACAACTGGACATACATGTGCAAAAGAAAAAAAAAAAACCTGAATCTATACACAGACCTTAAACCTTCTACAAAAACTAACTCAAGCCACAGACTGGGAATAGATCTTTATAAAACAGATATCTGATGGACTAGTATCCAAAATATAAAGAACTCTCAAGACTCAACAGTAATAAAACAACCCAATTTTTTAAATGGGAAAAATAGGTACCTCACCAAAGAAAATATACAGAAGGCTAATAAGCATATGAAAAGATGCTCAATAGTATATGTCATTAGGGAATTGCAAATTAAAACGAGATGCTACCACACACTTATTAAATGGCTAAAATCCAAAACAACAACAACACCACATGCTGGCAAGGATATGGAACAACAGGAACTCACACTTATTGTTGGTGGAAATGCAAAATAGTACTTTGGAAGACAGCTTGGCAATTTCTTAGGAAACCAGGCATGCAATCCTTGGCATTTACCCAATTGAATTGAAAACTTATTTCCACACAGAACCTGCACATGAATGTTTATAATAACTTTACTCATAATTGCCAAAACTTGAAAGCAACCAAGATGCCTTTCAATAGGTAAAAGATAAACAAACTGTGATACATCCAGACAATGGAATATTATTCAGTGCTAAAAAGAAATGAGCTATGAAACCATGGAAAGACATAGTTTAAGGAGGAACCTTAAATGCATATTGCTAAGTGAAAGAAGCCAATCTGAAAAGGTTACATACTGTATGATTCCAACTATATAACATTCTGGAAAAGGCAAAACTATAGAGACAGTAAAAGGATTAGTGGTTTTCAAGAGTTGGGGGTTGGGAAGGAGGGGTGAATAGGTAAGAGGACAAAGGAGTTTTAGGGCAGTTAAACGATTCTGCATGAATGTATAACATAAAGAGAGCACCCTAATGTAAACTATGAACTTAGATTAATAATAATGTATCAATATTGTAATAATGTACAATTGTAATAAATGTCCCATACTAATGCAAGATGTTAATAATGGAAAATTATGTGAAGGGGCTATATGAGAACTCTGTTCTTTCCACTCAATTTTTCTGTAATCCTTTCATTGTTCTAAAAAAAATAAAGTATTATTTTCTAAAAAATAACTTTGAACTATGATTATTTAATACAAACACAGATAAAATGTATTGTGTGCATCATAAAATCAAGATTCTTGTGAAGACTGGCTAACACTTCCATCTGACCTATAATAAAAGGGCTAACTTGGAATTGCCTTTAATGAAATGTCAAATTTATTTTGCCATCATCAGAAATCAAGTACATGAACTGATATTCAAATATTTTTTTTAAATATATTTTATTGATTTTTTACAGAGAGGAAGGGAGAGGGATAGAGAGTTAGAAACATTGATGAGAGAGAAACATTGATCAGCTGCCTCCTGCACACCCCCCACTGGAGATGTGCCCGCAACCAAGGTACATGCCCTTGACTGGAATCGAACCTGGGATTCTTCAGTCCGCAGGCCGACGCTCTATCCACAGAGCCAAACCAGTTAGGGCTGATATTCAAATATTTTAATGGAGCAATAAAAGGTACCCAAACTGCTTTGCTATGAAAGGCAAATAAAAAGTAGAAATAATTTAACACTCTTTGGCATCCTTTGACTTACACAGTATGTCATTTAAAAGTTATTGAAATTACATTACATACTCTTGCTATGAAAATTTGGTCATTGCTGAGTAATTATTTTTTTCTAGCTAAGTAATTGCAAAGATGTGAAGTATAAAACAAAATATTAATTCAGAAGCTCTCAGTGAGCTGAGAGATTTGTGTAGCAATTTTGTCCTTTAAGTATATGGAGCTATAATCTTGGATATTTCACATATATAAAATATATATTGTAGTCATTAACCCAGCACAACCAATGAGTTGAACATTCTAATGAGCTCATTGAAACCACCAATGATAGCGTTTTTTATTGGTTTCCCTTTGTAAAATATCATACTCTGCTGTTTAAAGTAACCTCTAGATTGGTTGAAAATCAATAGACATTTATTTGAGCAGCAAAGACAATATTCTGTTATGAAAATTAAGTAGCTTGGGTTTTCCCCTTTCTTAGTAGGGCCATTCATCTCTAAGTAGAGGGTTGCCTCTGATCAAGGATAACATTTTTCTCAGTACAGGGTCTTTGTCCAGTTTGTTGGACAAATTCAAGTTTGGGATGAGGCTCTAGAGCAGTGGTTCTCAACCTTGGCTGCCCATTGTTTCTTTGTTATGGGGTGAGGCCATAACATTAGTAACAAAGAAACAGAATTTCCGGAGGATGAGGCCTAGAAATCAGGATTTTAAAAAGATTCCCAGGTGATTCTAATGGGCAGCCAAGGTTGAGAACCACTGCTCTAGAGAGTCCTCCACCATACAGCTTGGCAGATGTAAAGGCAAATGTAAACAGATTTCTACAGGGAGGTGGGGGGTGGGGGCTGTGAAAAGTGGCTATTTCTCCCAGTAGAAGGTCTGATTTTCTGATTTTGAATAGCATTGCCTCCTGCTGGGCCTAAGGATGGAAGAATTGATTTAAGTATCTGGTACATTAACTCGGTAAACATTCTCAGATATTCTGCTTCACAATCTCTACTTAAGAGAACTCAACTGTATTCACTAAACCATCCCAAACCCTATACTTGAAGCCCTGATATGTCCCTCTGGCTTCAATCACAAATCTAAAGGCACTTGCTGAAATCTCCAGAGCATCCCCACCGCCTGAATTTATCATCTCTTCCCCTGTCCAAAACAAGGGGAAGAGATGATAGATTCCTTTAGACTTCTAGTCCATTTCTACAATTCTGCCCGTTTCTCCTGGGTATTGCCAACATGGCCACTGTCCTCTCCTTTTCCTTCCAAAAGTAACTTTCCTTTGATCAGTTACTAAAGCAGACAGGTTTTCCTTCATAATGTTTCCTATTTGTCCCTTCCCTTCAACTCTTATAGCCGGGGACTATGGCAATTTTCTAATGTGCTCTGCTTTCAGTTTCTGGTACATTCAGTTCCTGAGTACCTGTCTTTGTAGCTCAATCTCCCTCAGCAAAGCCTATAAAGTAGTAATGCCCTAGCCACTGTTGCGAAGTGGATAGTGCCTGATCCCAGGCACTGCAGGGTCGCAGGTTTGATTCCTGGTCAAGGGCACGGTAACTGGGTTGCAAGCCCCATCCCTGCCCCAGTTGGGGTGCCTGTGGGAGGCAACCAATCTCTCTCTCTCTCCTCCCTCCCTTCCTCCCTCCCTCCCTCTCTCTCTCCTTTCTCTCTCCCTCCCTCCTCCCATCCTTCCACTCTCTAAAAAGCAATGGAAAAAAATATCCTCAGGTGAGGATTAACAAAAAAAACAAAACAAAGAAAGTAGTAAGAATATTGTATGTGTATTTTCAAGGTTTTTTCAATCCTCACAATGCCCTATAAAATAGTTATTACTATCCACTTTGCAGATGAGTAAGTTGAGGCTCTGAAAGGTTAAGTAATTTACCCAAGGTTGCACAGTTAGTATGTGGCAGTTAAAAATCTAACAGTCTTAATTAACTAGAGTCTAAGCGCGTAGCCACTCTTTTCTCTATACATCTAACTGCTCCTCCCTCACCCGCTTAAACACGGTCTTTTTATAAAAATAAAAATAAACTTGACCTGGAGTTCATCATCCACATAATTCGTTTTACCTACTTATTTTAATGTTTCTCGCTCGTCTCCTTTGTTGCCTCCTCTTCCACAAGATTGGTACTCATTAGTAGTCGCCTTATGTTAATTACGCATACATCTTATCTACCAAATTAGACTGTAAATTCCTAGAATATGGATCACGTCTTTGTTCAACACTTTCTATACCTGAGGCAATAGAAAGAAAAAATGAGGCTCCGGATTGGATGACATAGGCCCGGAGAGGGTTAGGAACTGAGTTTTGACCTCATGTAAAAACACCATCTGAGAATACTTACACTTCGTGGCGCTGGAGGACACCAAAACACTTTATTTTGCCTAAAGGTGTCCAGGACTTTACCGACCGGAAGTTCCCTTGCCCCTAACAAAGAGGAAGCCGGTCACGTGAACCAATCAGGCTGCTTACGTACAAATCGTTTCCCCATTCTCCTCCCCAGTCGTTTCCTCCAAGGGCTCTGACGCAGCCAATCAGCTCACCTCTAGCCGGCGTGCGTCTAACGTCAGAGACCGGGTGGCGTCTAGTTGGAATTTTGGCGGGCCTGGCTGTAGAAAGGGAAGGGGCGCGGACCGGGTGAGAAGCCCGGCCTGGGCGTGTGAGTGGCTCTCGGGCGGCGGGGGAGACGTCACGCCACGCGCGTCTGTGGTAGAGGTGAGAGCTCCGGGAGCGAGAGCGCGGAGCCCGCCGGCGCTCGGGTGAGGGCAGCGGGGGCGGCGGCGGCCGCGGGAGGGCGCGACCGGGAGGTCCGGGGGTGAGCAGTGGCGGGGCACGTCTGAGATGCCCTTTACTTTCGTTAAGGGAGCAGTGTTTTCTTTCTTTAAAGTAACCTTTAAAACGCTTGCCAGGTGCATCCCGTTTGGACTTCTCTTATTTGTTCATTTTTAAAAGTCACAATAATAAATGTTGAGTATGTGCCGTGTACGGGGCTCCAAACACTCATTACTTACGCCCCGTGGCGCCGGCAGTCCAAAGAGGATAAAGCAAGTACACGGTAGTGCAGTACAGCCATGGGAAGGTGAGTTGAGAGGGAGGCGGGAAGGCTTAGAAAAACGGGTGTTTCCGCGGCGGGCGAGGAGGAGCGGGGGAGAGCTTCCCGAAGGGCCCGAGGCCTGGGAGCGCGCTTGTGTTCACGGAGGCGAATGCCGGCTAGTCTTGCGGGAACATGTTTGCGGGTGGGTAGAGCGGAGCGGAGTGGACCCGCCGAAAAGATGAGGAAGTAGAAGTAAAGGGTGCCCATTGCCTCGTTGGCTTTGTAACATTTTTGCTAAGGGCCATGGAAGGTCATTAAAGAATTTCTATTAAAGCAATACCACTATTGGATTTCTGTTTCTAAAAGATTTCTAAGGAAAGAAAAGGTTACTGTGGCTGTTGTACCAAAACTAGATTACAGAAGGCCAAAGAGACCAATGCATAGTCGGGGCAAAAGATTGATAGTGGCTTGGACTAGGCTTTTGGCAGTAAAATGGGGGAGGAGTGGAAGTTTTGAGCAATATTGTGGGGATAAGAACCATAGCACTTGTCAGATGGCCCTAGATATGAGGGTGCGGAAAAGGCATGGGTTTGGGTGGAAAGGGTGGTTGGCTATAGAAATGAAGGAGATAGTTTCCGCTGTCTAAACTCTCGAGGAGCTCACGATCCAGCAGATTCCCCAATAGACAGCACAGTAATACTGTTTACAGTTTGTTTCATCCATGTAATCTAGAATCATACTCCTCTGTACCTCACCTGAGTTTCTACAACCACAGTTTGCAAAAAAAGAAAAAGGGGATTGCTTCCATACTAGGAGGAAGACGGTGTTGGCGGTAGGGGTGAGAAATGGTCAGATTCCGGATGGATTCTAGGATTACAGTCCCTGGGAATTGTAGGATTCTGGAGTTTTTGGATGTGCAGTGTGTGCCAGAGAGAACCAAGGGTGACTTCTCTAATGATGATTTCACAGAGCCAAGATCCTGCATTACTGCCATCTCCTGGGCACCTGGTCCTCCTTGGAAGTTCACTGTCGCCACTGTTCCCTAGACAACATGGATGGTAAGTCCTGGCAGTTCTCTCAATTTTCTTGTTTTTAGAAATCATCCTTTGTGGATTTGTTGTTTATTCTACTTGCAAAATAGTGAAAATAGCTGCCCCACCCTCAAGTGTTGTCTGAGTCACTGAATGTTACTTGCTTTAATCAGGTGGGATTTATTTATTTATTTATTTTTAAATATATTTTTATTGATTTCAGAGAAGAAGGGAGAGGGAGAGAGAGAGAGAAACATCAATGATGAGAGAGAATCATTGATCTGCTGCCTCCTGCATGCCCCCTACTGGGGATTTAGGCCACACCGGAGCATGTGCCCTTGACCAGAATCGAACCTGGGACCCTTCAGTCTGCAGGTAGATGCTCTATCCAGTGAGCAAAACCAGCTCAGTCTAATCAGGTGGGATTTATTCTGGCATTACTGGTTGTCTTTCATAATAATGATGATAGCTGGCATGTACTTACAATGTGCCAAGTGCTGCTCTAAGATCCTTAATTATATTAATTAACATAATCCTCATAGCAACTGTATTTTGGAAACAGAAAGATCAATGTCAGAGCAGGGATTTGAACCCAGGCAGTCTCAGAGTTCACATTTAATATTGAAGTCTGTTGAGCCCTGGCTGGGTCGCTCAGTTGGTTAGAGTGTCAATCTCATACATTAAGGTTACAGGTTTGATCCCCGGGCAGAGGCACATACAAGAATCAACCAATGAATACATAAATAAGTAGAACAACAAATTAATGTGTTTTTCTTCTCTCCCTTTCTCTCCCTCCCTCACTCCCCCCTCTCCCTCTCCCAGTCTCCCTCCTTCCCTCCTTCTCTTCCCCCCTCTGTCTCTCAAAATCTATAAGTAAAAGAAATCTGTTGAAGTGGTTTTAGTCTAGCTCTGTCTTAAATTATTATAGTCCTTTCTAGTTTTGTTCATTTTGCAAGAATGTGTGCAAATATTTACTTAAGAAATGTTGTTCTAATTAGAGCTTAGCCAGGGAACAGCACAAAACTGATTGTGCTGGCTGTGAAGAGAAGATGCTATATAATAAAAGGCTAATATGCAAATTGTCCCCTTGACCGGGAGTTCGACCAGGGGACACCAACCACCCGAGAGAGAGTTTTGGGGAAGCTGGGAGTAATGGGTTCCAGTTAATAAATGGAAGAACTGGCCATAAATAGGACTAGACACTTCATCCATTTTCATAGGAGGAAAAGCAGAGAATATATGTTCAGGTTTAGTAGTGAAAGATGATGGAATCTGATTGCTTCCTTTGTTTGTTTGTTTGTTTGTTTTTTTAAGTGTGAGACAAGATCAGCTAAGAGTAAAGATGGAGGATAGACATCAGAGGTTTGAGAAGTGGCTGAAGTGGTTAGAAAATAGGAAAGCAATTATTAGGGAAATGTGGGAATTTTTAAGCACTACTGAATGCTTACTTGTTCTTGGCAGTATATATTTAAAGTTTAACCAATCAGTATGGTGATCTTTTTCTAGGAAAGTTCACCGGTTGGGTGCAGGCTGTTGGGTTTAATCAAGGTCAACATTCATAAAATTTTAGAAATTGTATAAAGATAGAAGTTTATAGAAAATATTCACGATGAATTATATATATATATATATATAAAAAGAGGTGATATGCAAATTAGCCGGGATGCCGTAACAGTCACGACCAGCTCAGGAGGAGGCTGCGTGCGCAGATGGGTGGGAGGGGACTGCGTGCACAGTGAGGCAAGCCACAGATGGCGCAGGCCCAGAGACGGGGGTGGGGGGGAGGGGGCCGCCCCAGCAGCCGTGGTGTGCAAGCAGTTCCGCCTCTGCATGTGAGCTACAAAGGAAACACCTTTTCTGACCACTCATTGGCTAAGCTCCCTGTACGCCACTTGCAGTGTTCTTGGTAACTTGGGTAATAAGAATCCAAGAAGGTGATCTAGGGTTTTTCCACCTCACTCCTGGAGGAAAAAACGAAGGTCCGCTGCTGGAGGGGCTAAGAAATGTCATATCCTGCCCTAGCCGGTTTGGCTCAGTGGATAGAGCCTCGTCCTGCGGAACGCAGGGTCCTGGTTCGATCATGATCAAGGGCATGTACCTAGGTTGCAGGCTCCTCCCTGGATGGGGCCCAGGTCAGAGCTCATGCAGGAGGCAACCAAATGAGGTATGCCTCTCACATTGATGTTTCTCTCTGTCTTTCCCTCTCTCTTCCACACTCTCTAAAAATCAATGGAAAAATATCCTCAGATGAGCATAAAAAAGAAAGAAAGAAATATCATATTCTATGAAAGAGACATCTTGAAAATGCTTAAAGAAAGTTGTCATTTTTTCGTGGTGAAGGGACTGGAGTCCATGTTGATGAAAACACCTTGGCGGCTGTGGCGGCCAGCAGTGGCAGCCCCAGAGGGGTGATGGGGGTGGCGCCTTCCCCTGATCAGCCCGGTTGCCTCCTGCAGAGGACATCTCAGGGCTCCCGGACCTAGAGGGGGCAGGCTGGACTGAGGGACCCCCTCCCCCCCCCCCCCCCGCAGTGCACGAATTTTGTGTACCGGGCCTCTAGTCTATTATAAAAGGCCAATGGCCATAACGACCAAATGACCGGTCATCAGGAGGTGCATTGATGGGTCTCACGATGGGGCGAGTCTAGGTCTCACGGCGTGGCGGTTCTGGGGTCCCGCCAGCGCAGTGGGTGTGGGGTCCTTCCATTTCGCGCACTGGGCCTCTAGTGAATAATAAAATTGACTATAAGGTGATTATAAAAAAAATAATGTACTTTTAGAGTAGGAAAAGACACCATTTAACCTGTATAACTTGATTGTAATCAGGAGTGTACTATTAGGTTATCACAGACCTTTAGAACTGAATTAGACTCGAGATATAATTTTTGTACCACTGTGTGTGTGTGGGGGGGGGTGTACGTGTGCATATATATATATTTTTTTTAAATCCTCACCTGAGAATTTTTTTTTTTTTTTTGTTAGAGGGAGAGAGGGAAAGAAAGAGAAATATCAATATGAGAGAGAAACATCGATTGGTTGTCTCTCACACACGCCCTGACCAGGGATGAAACCTGCAACCTGGGCATGTAACCCTGACTGGAATTGAACCAGAGACCTTTTGGTGCATAGGATAATGCTCCAACCAACTGAGCCACACCAGCCAAGGCACTTTTGTATTTTTTTTAATAACAACACATGCCACTATAAAAAAAAGATTTTTGTCAAGGAACCTGAGGGTATGCAAGAGAAGCAATGGAATGAAGAGTTGTTAGGAGGCAGTGATTATAATGATGGAACATGGATCCAAAGTGGGGACTGAAGGAATGGGGTATGAGGGATATTAAAAATATTATAGGCAGGTTGATGGATTGTACTTCTTAATAAAGATGGAGGGGCCCTGGCTGCTGGTGTTCAGTGGTTAGAGCATTGGCCGGGCACACCCCAGGTTAGATTCCCAGTCAAGACCACATATGTTGGTTGCAAGTTTGACCCCAGCAGGAGGCAACCAATCTATGGGTCTCTCTCACATCGATGTTTCTCTCTCTCTTTCCTCTCCCTCCCTCTCTTCATCCATCTCTCCTTTCCACTTTCTCTAAAAAAAAAAAAATACCGTTGGGTGAGGATTAACAAAATAAAACAAAAATGACGGAGAGGAAGTGGGAGGAATTCCAAGGGAATTTAGTAAATGACAGCAACCAGGAGGACTTCTTGATGAAAAAAATCTGATGTCATGTCGTGTGGTTTTGAAGAAAGGTTAATAGTTCCAGAGTGACAGTGATAAGCAAGAAGACATCAGGGCAAGGGAAAAGAAATCACCAGGGCCCTTGAGTTGATTACCAAATATTTATTACACTAAAGGCCCAGTGCACGACATTCATGCACGGGTGCGGTCCCTAGGCTTGGCAGGTGATAGAAGCGCGAGCGTCTTGTGTGGAAGGGCAGGTTCCAGCTTACCTCTGGGCCCTGGCAGCACCTGGGCCCCCAGCCCTCGCGCTCGCTCTCTTCACCTGAGTCACGGCGCTCAAGTCCCCACGCAGAGATGCGGTGAGTGCGGCCAGACGCCACGGGCCGAGGCACAGCGTGGGCCTCTAGGCCGCCCAGCAGTGCCGCACGGAAGCCTGGTGGGCAGCGCACTCTCTCCCAGCTGGCCTCGCAGACTGGCTCCTGCACAAACCCACGGGGAGCCCGACCACCCCTGCAGACCCGGCGGCTGCGGCCCGGCTCACCCGGAAGAGGCCACGCGGGTGCAGGGCGGGGTCCTTGCGGGTACCTGGTACCTGAGTGCAGGGGCTTCCCTGGCACACGAGCCCTGGCATCCCAGGGGAGGGTAGCAGTGGGAGTGAGAGTGAGCTCAGTGGACACCCCGCATTCTCACTGCACCTCCGTCCCGTCACCCCTGCCCCCAGGTAGCAAGTGAGAGGTCGCAGGCCCCCCCCCCCCCACCCCCGGGCACCACGGGAGGTTGGTCGCTGCCACCTACCCCCAGTTCCCCGTCCCAGCTCGGGGCCCAGGTCCGATCAGGCGATCAGGGCCTGCCAGCCACTGGTCGCCATCTGCAGGGAAATTGGGCCCCGCTTGCACCCACCTTGGCCTGGCGCCGCCCACTCACCTGCTCCACCATCCAGCCATGGTCCTGCTCTCGTTGGGGCCCATCGGGGCCAACGGTGCCTCCACTGCCGCTCACTGCCAACGCCGCATCACCAACGCCCTCCATGTTCTGCGCCATCCCCTGGTGGTCAGCGCATGTCATAGCGAGCGGTTGAACTCCCAGCTGAATTCTCGGTCAAGGGGACAATTTGCATATTAGGCTTTTATTATATAGGATGCCTGGTGTGTGCTGGAGACTGTTCTAGCATTTGGAATATGAGGTGTGTGCAGTTAAACAAATTCCACTCAAGTGGCAGCTTGATTTCTAACAGCCACTGAGGGTATAGAGCAGGGGTCCTCAAACTACGGCCCGTGGGCCACATGCAAATACAAATATTGTATTTGTTCCTGTTTTGTTTTTTTACTTCAAAATAAGATATGTGCAGTGTGCATAGGAATTTGTTCATAGTTATTTTTTTAAACTATAGTCCGGCCCTCCAACGGTCTGAGGGACAGTGAACTGGCCCCCTGTTTAAAAAGTTTGAGGACCCCCTGGTATAGAGAAACTTGCTGGTAGTAGATTCTGAGTCCCAGATAGCAGATCTCAGAGGTTTGTGAGTAAGAAGACAGGAAGATGGGTCAACATAACATCAGGAAAACAGATGATTTTTGGTGGTGACTGAGGTAACCTGGGATAGTGGCATCATGGATTAGTCTGACTGCTCTCATGAAAGAGGGTGAGTTCAAGACCAAGAGTATGGAGCCACAAGGTAACATTTTTCACTCGTGACTCCCAGTGGTGTGGATCAAGGCCTCTTCTTGGGGGCGCTCTCTACAGCAGCTAGGAGCAAGAGAGAGGCTGCCTTGCCAGGATGTGACCATCTCACCTGGAGCACAGCGAACCTGATTCCCTCTTCTCTCTTGCTGCACCCTGTAATCCTAGAGTCTGCGGACTAAGCATTCAAAACTAATTGTTTTACAATCTCTGACTTTAAGCTTCAGACCCTTTCATTAGATTCTAGGCCTTAAATTTGGCTGTTGGATCTTTCCCATCTGGTATGGGAGTGTAGAGCAGTAGAAAGGGTACTGATTTCCTGATCTAGAGCTCGCCATCCTAGCCTAGGCTCCTGTGCTGACCTGTTTCACCACAGGCCCCTGAGCAGGCCCCTGCCCTGTCTGGACTTCAGCTCCTGTCTTTCCAGTGAGGGAGTGAAATAGCCTTAACGTTTTTGCTTTAAATGCTTCTGATTTCATAGAGGAATAATGCCTAAATAGGGAAAAAATGAGCAAAGAAATAGACAAATCAAAAAAAGAAATCCCAGTTAACATAAGAATTTACCTCAACTAGTAATCACAGAAATGCAAATCAAAACAATAAGCTACCTGCCTTTTAAAATCATCCAGCAGATTGGCAAAATATCTTAGGTGACCTATCAGATTTAGTGAGGGGGTAGGGAGAAATGGAGAAATGGTACTTGAGTACAATGCTAGTGAGAGTACAACCACTTGGAGAACAATTTGGCAGTATCAAGTAAATTTGGAAAATGTGCATTCCCAACAATCCAGGACTTTCACATTTGATAGGTATTTCCAAGGAACTTTCGCACATGTACAAGGTGTATGCATACTTTGTAGTGTGAAAATACTGGAAATAGCTCATATGTTCTTTATTGGAAAGTGAATTAATAAAATGTGACACATTCTTATTGTGGACTACTAAACAGCAATTGAAAGAAATAAGTATATGTTTTGACTTGGGTCAGTCTTACATGCAATCTTTCTGTATCCTGAAGGAAAACAGGATACAGAGTAATACATATAGTATGAAATAGTTTATATAGATATTTCTAAAAAAACCAAATAGTGTGTATTACTTATAAGTATCTATATATTTGTTAAAAGTTTGAAAAATTGACTAGAATGATATACCAAAATTATGATAGTGGTTGTTGAGGGGCCTGGAGGTAGTGATATGGAGTTGGAATAAGATTTGGCATAATTTTTTTTTTGTTTTGATTTAAGCTTTTAAAAATTTAATGTAAAGGCCAAAAGAAAACCTGACAAAATGTTAGTGGTGGCTAATTCTGGGTGATGGAATATGAGTATTTTTTAAGATATATATATATTTTTTTATTGATTTCAGAGCGGAAGGGAGAGGGAAAAAGATAGAAACATCATCGATCAGCTGCCTCCTGCATGCCTCCCCAGTGGGAGTCGAGCCTGCAAACCCATCATGTGCCCTGACTGGGAATCAAACTGGCCTCCTGGTTCATAGGTTGACACTGAGCCACACTGGCTGAGTGGGATATGAGTACATTTTATGTAATTGTATGTACCTGTCTATATTTTTTAAAAATTGCTCAAACCATTAAAAACTGGAGAAATAGCCTGCCAGTGTGGTTCAGTGGGTGAGCACCAACCTATGAACCAGGAAATCACAGCTCAATTCCCGGTCAGTGCACATGCCCAGATTGCGGGCTTGATCCCTGGTGGGGGACATGCAGGAGGCAGGCAATCGATGTTTCTCATCATTGATGTTTCTATCTCTCCCTCTCCCTTCCTCTCTGAAATCAATAAAAAATATATTTTTTTTAAATATTTTTTTAAAAAACTAGGGGAATATATACATCTAGAGCCTAAATATATGTTTAGTGTGTTTTTCAGTAAACTCCCTTGTGGGTTGAAGTTGGTATGCAGGAAGTTGTCTCATTAGCTGATGTAGGGAAAAAGATCTAGCCTAGTGACTGGCCCAGTGTGATTACTAAGCAGATATTGGCCCCTTCTTCCTTAGCCCAGAGCCCTCCGAGAAGCACTTGGGAAGAGAGAAGGTGGAGATAAGACCAGTAATTATACCAGGAAAATTGATTAAATTTATGTCATTTTAATTGTGTTATGAATGTTGAATGTTTTAATTAACTATGCTTTCATTGGCAGTTCTCAGGTAGGCTTATTTTCTCTCCTTTTTCTCCTTTTTCCCCTAGTGGGTGAAGATGAATTATCTCTGCTGACTTCACTACTGGAAGAGAATGAGTCAGCCTTGGATTGTCATTCAGAAGAGAGCCACCCTTCCATCCAGGATGATGGTAAACCTGATACATTTGATGAGCTCTTCGATGCTGACGGTGACGGTGAATCTTACACAGAGGAGGCTGATGATGGGGAAGTGGAAAAGACTCAAGACCAAAAGGAAAATTTGGCTACTCTCTTTGGAGATATGGAGGACTTATCAGATGAAGAAGTTCCTGCATTACAATCAACTAAAAACAGAGCCCGCCCTGCTCCTGCTCCCAATCAAGGGAAAACTAATCAAGAGTTACAAGGTGCCCTAACTACTTGCTTTCTCTAGACTAGAAGAAGACCACCAGTCTGACAGTTTTCATTAAGATAACTGTTGAGTCAAGAGTGGAGATAAATGATTTGTAAAAAAAAAAAAAAAAAAAAAAATGTCTGAGTTAGTATATCAAACATTTAAGGCCAGCATTTCAGCATACAAAGCAATAGCCAGCCAGCAACGTATATATGTATCAGGGACAGCCAACTATAGTTGGTCCTTCATAGGGTGACTCTAACACTTTTCATGCTTATTACAAAAAAAATTACTTTGGAAGTTATATGCAAATGGAGCCAGACAAGACTATAAAAACTATTGCACATTCTATTTGAGCAGGAGACCATTTCTGAACAGAAGCTTTGAGGAGTGTACTTTTCTTATTCCTGGCGTCTTCTCTTATATTTTTAAATTACAATAAAATTCTGTGGTTGGCAGTTTCTTCTGATACAGGACCAAGCATTATGATATTCTGTGAAATTAATGTTTTGATTCCTAAAAACTTAACTGTAGATAGGTATCTATGATATCTGTCAGTAGTACAAATTTATAACTGGCTTTGGTATTAGAGGCTCGATTACTGGAAATAAGTTTATTTCTCTAAAGGGACCCCTTCGAAGTGTAAAAGTTAATTGAGTTCTTAGTATGTGATTATATTGTGGGTCTTGAGGTTTGGGGGGAAGATGGGTGGACACCAAAAATAATTCCAGCACTTTTGTCATGTATAATATTTCTTCTGGTTTGCTTCTTAAGTCAATATTTTTTCCCCTAGATGAGTTAAGGAAGTTGCAAGAGCAAATGAAGTCTTTACAAGAACAGCTAAAAATGGCGACAATTAAACAGCCTGCAAGTCCAGCTTGTCCACATAAATCTGGTAATCAAACTGTAATTCTAGTAATAGTATGCATTTCTCATATTAAGAAATTATAACATTTCTGCATCCAATTCCTGGTAAAACTGCTCCTGAGCCCCTTTCTAAACTCTACTAATTTCTTTTACTTTTAATCAAGTAGAGAAGTCTCCACGCCCCCCTCTTAAAGAGAAAAAAGTTCAGAGAATTCAGGAATCAACATGCTTTTCTGCAGAGCTTGATGTCCCTACTCTACCAAAAACCAAGCGAGTGGCTCGGACACCAAAAGTTTCACCTGCAGGTGTAGTATTCAAGGCCTCCTGGTTTCTCACTACTCTGATTCTGTTGAAAATATATTTTGGCACTATCGTGTGTGTGTGTGTGTGTGTGTGTGTGTGTGTGTGTGTGTGTGTTTCATCTGCCCCCTGAGAAAATTTTCTTGGGAATGGGAACCATATGCTCTATTATGTACTCTTTCTCTACATCTCAAAGTGATTAGAAAATTTTTAGGTAGAGAGTAGGTATGTCCTAAACACTTCATGGGTTGAATTTTTTTTTTTAACTCTGTAGTCTTGTAGTTGACTTGAACTATAGTAAAAACTAACCACTAGATCTCATGCTAGCAATCTAGAGATTCAATCTTTTGACTTGTCAGATTGAGGCACAGATTCTCTTATAAAAGTAATCAGGTTTTATTTGAAGTTAGGTTGTATTAAATTAGAAGGTTCATTCTTTAGAAAAATTTTCTTTGCCAGAAGTCTGGAATAGTATTGAAATAAAAGCCTATTTCAGCACACACATATACACACACACAATAAAATGAAAGAGATTTATAAGCTCTCTCTATTGATTTTGTTGTTTTGCCTCAGTTTGCCCAAAGTGATTATTCTTTGGAAGACAAAATGGTCTGTAGATAACATAGCTGAGAGTAAGCAGTATTTTTTTGACCACAAGAGATTAAAAAGGCCCTTTTGAATAGCATTGATATATGGGACAATAGTAGAGAATAGTTGCAGCCTCTGAGTGTTCATATTTATTTGACAACAAATTTATACTTTACATATCTGTTTATGAGTAGTGTCCATCCCTTTAGGACCTTTGACATTACTAAGGTATTTCATTAAGTAACTTCCAGAATTCAGTTTTGAGGGGTGGGACATGGTTTCTAGAGATCCTAAAGTTCAGGGTTGCCCTGGCCCCTAGTTTGGGAGCAGTGATCCAGAGTCTCTGAGGGTAAACAAAAATCTGGTTGAAGAGAAAGTGATATTTTATTAAGGAAAAACTTTCTGACCTTCAGGAGCACTATCAAATACTTCTAAAATAGGAAAAATAACCATGTCAGTAGAATACCTTGATCCTCCCCAATTCCCTTTACCCCACGAATGAAATTGAATGGGTTGAAATGAAATGAAACAAACAAGAAAAGAAGCTAACTTTGGATTTTCTTCAGGTGGGATTTGATATGTGCACAAATATCCACTAATTATGGAATTCTGAAGGAGAGCTCTTGCTCCCTCATAAAATCTACCACAGTGCTCCATATGTGGTGAATACTCAACAAATGTCTTTGCAGAAGAATGGTGTTTTGGGTTTGTTTGTTTGTTTTAAATATATTTTTTTTTCTTTTAATTTCAGAGAGGGGGAGAGAGAGAGAGAAACATTAATGATGAAAGATGATAATTGTTTGGCTGCCTCCTGCACAGTCCCTACCGGGGATCAAGTCCGCAATCTGGGCATGTGTCCTGACCAGGAATCAAACTGTGATCTCCTGGTTCATAGGTTGATGCTTAACCACTGGCCAGGCAAGGAACAGTATTTTAAATTGGCACTATCTAATATAGCAGTCACTAGCCACATGCCACTATTTAAACTTAACTAAGTTAGACATTCATTTCCTTAGAAACAATAGTCAGTTATAAGTAATCAGTGGCTGCCGTATTAGACAGTACCAGTATCAAACATTTTCATCATTACAGAGATTTGAGGGTAGTACAGAAATGATCTTGTGGGCTTCCTTTGTTTTCTCAATATTTGGTTATTGTATGGTGGATGAAAAAAAGAACAATTCTGTTAAAAATGTTGTAGTTATTAGTGTGGATTTCTTTTCACTTAATTTTTATATTAATTTTCTAGAACCCAAAAGCTCACCTTCAAAGATGGTATGTGCACCCTCCCAACCTCTCCGAATGATGCCTGGAAACAAACCTAATTGGATGACTAGAGATAAGGGTGTGGAGGCCACCAGGAGTTCTGGGGACATAGCTCAGCCGGTCTCTGTGGAAGCCTTCTCTGGCCTGAGGCTCAGGTCAGTAACTGACAGCCCCTCACTGATCACATGCCCCGCCAGATGCCTCGTCCTCCTGTCTGAGGACTGAGCCTTTTAGAAATAGTGTATTTGTACAGCAGATCCACATAACACCAGTAACTCTGGAACTTGACAAAACTTGGCATTGAGCACTGGTTGTGATTCAGTACATTTGCATATGAAGTATTTAAGGAAGACTTTTGCTTGGATGGATAGATAGATAGGTAAATAGATGTGAAATTATATTTAATCAGAAACTGACAGAAAGAAACAGTGATAGAGACTATTTTTAAATACATAAAGATACATACAGTTTAACCAGGATAATAGTATCTTGTAATTGATGTTAAGAAAAATAGCTGTGCTCCTTTTTTTTTAATAACCTTTAAGGTAAATTTATATTCTTTGCATCTGTTATGTGGAAAAACTAAGATACTCAATTAAAATAGGATTAAATCCCAGGATCAGTTCAGTGGAAAGTGTAGACTTTTAAAAATCCTCTGTGCTCTACACTACTACTCCATTGCATCTCCATTATTACTTCTCTTAAAGCCCAGGGTGGAGCGGTAATCTTTACTGTGAGACCAGATTGCTCTTAGTTCAGTCCTGATTGGCCAAGTGCACCCCCTCTAGTACACTTAAACCTTGTCAATCTAAACTAAAACTACCAAGCTCTTGAATTGTATATTATTGAGCTGGGGAAAAACAAGTAGCTGCCATTCTGCAGTATGGTACTGTATATAGAGTAATACAGTGGACGTTTATTGTGAAAACTCAGCAGTACTCCAAATCAATAATGGTCAATGTTTTAATTATGGTTGAGATGGAGGCTGAGGGATGGAATACAGTAAAGCTCCTTAAGTAGCTTTAGCTTCTTTTTCAAGGTAAACATGACCTTCTTGAGATGATACTGCCTGCCCCAGCAAGCTCCCAGGTGAAACTCCTGGTGGATAATGAAAGATGTTGCTGATGCAAGTGTAGTGCATGTGGGAATTGAATGGAGGTAGACAAAGTTGAAATTACTCAGCCAGAGTTTCTTAGTGACCTACAAATTTAGGGAATTGCAGAATTGTTTGAGTCCCTGTAATTGTAATATCTGAACCTCAGAGCCTAAAAATACTCTGAAGAATAGTAATCTGATGGTAGCATATTAACGCACAAAAATCAGGCAAAGAAAAGGATTTCTCCTGAATATTGTTCATTATTCAGACTTAGCTCTAGGACTTTCTATTCTAGAAGACGACTGAAAGAGTCAAAGGCACATTTATTTGTGTTTTTTCTCTTGTCCTTGAATATATAATGTGATCAAACATGGAACAGATACTAATATTTACTAGAGAGACAATTTGCAAATTCACCAAGTTTTAGCCAGTCATTAGAAACAAGAATATATTAATTAAAGCTAGAATCAACGCTTTTATTAGTAGAGGCCCGGTGCAGGGATATCGGACTACTGGTTTCGGCCCGATCCCCACAGGCCAGGCTGAGAAACCCCACCGGTGCACCGGGCCTCTAGTATGTATATAAAATCTTTGGTTAATCTCTTCCCGCCTCCCTCCTCCCCACTTCCTTCTGAGATTCATCAGTCTGTTCCATGTTTCCATGCCTGTGCATTGAGCGTCTGCCCCCTGGTGATCAGTCAGTGTCATAGCTATGGGTCAGAAGGCTTTTATATATATATACTAGAGGCCCGGTGCACAAAAATTTGTGCACTCGGTGGGGTAGGGGGGGTCTCTCAGCCTGGCCTGTGCCCTTCACAGTCTGGGACCCCTCGGGAGATAATGACCTGCTGGCTTAGGCCTGCTCCCAGGTGGCAGAGGGCAGGCCCAAATCCGTAGGTGCAGCCCCTGGTCGGGCTCAGAGTTGGGGCGCTGCCCCCTGTCATGCACAGAGCAGGGCGGATCGGGAGGTTGCGATGCCACCCCTAGTCACGCTCAGGGTAGGGCCGATTGGGGGGTTGGGGCACCGCCCCCTGTCACACTCAAGGCAGGGTCAATGGGGAGGTTGCGGCGCCACCCACTGTCACGCACAGAGCAGGGCCCATGGGGGGGTTGGGGCGCTGCCCCCTGTCACTCACAGAGTAGGGCCGATAGGGGAGTTGGGGCACCGCCCCCTGTCACACACAGAGCAGGGCGGTCAAGGGGGTGGGGCGCCACCACTGTCACACTTAGGGCAGGGCCAATGGGAGGTTATGGCTCTACCCCGTCACACCCAGAGCAGGTCCGTGGAAGGGGGT